AATATTTTTTATATATTTTTTAATATTTTGTATAATTGTACAAAATATTCTTTTCTACTATATTCCACTCTAATAATTGAATGTTATCATTTATTATTTAAATTAATCAACTTGATTGTCGAAATTATTAATATTATTAAATATATTGTACCAAGAAATCAATATATATATATATATATATGTGTATATCTTCAAATATATAAAATTGAAAGTACATAGAACATGCTTAACACATGATTTTCATAAACGAATAAAACAACTTTACTTTTGCGCTTCAAGTAACACTGATTGTGAATTCTGTTAGATACATATCTATCTCTGATACTTTTTCCAACGTAAATTTGTTTTTAGTTTCTTCACTACTTTACTTTCTCCTTTGTACTCTCCAAAATATACCCATCTTTGGATAAAATTCAATAAGTTATAAATAATGAAAGAAGTGTAAATTTCTTTTTCATATATTTCGGATCAGAAATAGGAATTTTTAAATTACATTTGTAAAATGTAAAGTTAAGAAATATTTATAATTAACATTCACTTAAAATTCAATTAGAAAATTCTATATCCTCTATCCTGTCTTGCACTTATTCTTCATTAATTTCTTTTTCATTATATATTGTTGTAAATAAAATTTATATAATTATAATATTTTTTAATTTCGAAGGTTAATAGTTTCATTTAACTTAAAATTTTATACTAATTAATTTTTTAATTTCTTTAAATTTGCAATGTAACATTTTATAAAATAAGCTATAATTAAAATTATTTATGAAATTAAATATAATAAATGTAAACGAAAATATAATTATATGATAAATATAAATAAAAATATAATTATATGATAAATATAAATAAAAATATAATTATATGATAAATATAAATAAAAATATAATTATATTACAATTCATTGAAACGAACGAAATACTACTTCTTTCATTTATTTCACAATATGCCGTGTAAATTCGTTTTAGTCCTTTATTTCATATCCTTCTACTTACGATATCGCGAAATATCTATAGTATTCCAGATATACTATAATATCCTACGGAATAAAATATTCCTCGCTATTTCCATGGCACATCGTTTCAATTTTTCACAACACCGATCACAATCAATCGTTTCTTAACTTCCTCGCGTGTCTTTTCTTACAAAATTAACCAGATATTAAAGGATACGATTAAACGTAGCTCTTCTGCAATCACAATTCTGCAATTATAGGGTTGGCCGTACGAAATACGAAGTCGAACTTGTCGTTACTCCTCTGCTGTTGAATCACAAGAACTGATTGCGAGACACGAGTGTCCAGTCGAGTTCAACTTCGCGGAGAAGACGCGACCAGTCGGTATTTGATGTCAGCGACGAGGTCAGGTTTTGAGGTAAAACCAGAGCCAGGCCTTTGTGAAAGAGTTGGACGAATTAAATCGCGTGGCGAGTAAGTACGCGACTGTTCTTACATCATCGGAAGAGTTGGCTCGTCCCTGACAAGATGTTTCACGTTTCAAGCTTTCGATATGAATTTATCTTCAAATAAACATAAATGCTCGTTTCTGTTGGTTCTAATAGCTTTAGAAATAACGATTACGTTATTGTTTGTTGAGGATAATTTATAAAAAGTTCAGTTGTGCTTATTATTAGTTAATAAACTACGAGTTTCTGTGCATTTTAAAGTTCCTGTGTTAAGGAAATAGTTAAGGAATTAAATAAGGAAGTAAATTATAACACCAGATATTGGCGTTATAATATTCTATTTTTTATATTTTATAATATTCTATTTGAAGAGGAACAGAATTTTTAATAACGTAAAATTTCATTTATGAATTTGGTGAACTTCTATTATTATCTTTATAATTTTAAATATATATTAACAATTCAACATCAACGTCAAAATACTTTAAAACAATACAAATATTATTAACAAGATAGATGAAAGTATACATTTAATAATATCATTTAATTTTTAGTTGCAATTAATAACTTTTAATTCCTATGGTTGTATATTACGAGAATTTTAAGAATAATGCTTACATCTACTCAACAGCATTATTTTTAATAAATAATTTTAAAAAAGATTTAACTTTAGGAAGTCAAAATAAAACGACATATTTTGCATGTTAAAGTTAAATCAACTGACAGCTAATAAGATTTTATAAAAAAATCATAATAAAAAAGTAATTTTTAATAAAAATCAGTGTTAAATAATGTTGAATTTCTCCTTTATGTGGCGGAATAGAAACTATAATAATAATATACAGATATAGGTCACAGGTTTGAAAAATTGTGTTTTTTCTAAAAGTATTATCCATTTAGTTTTATAGTCAATTAAGTAATAATTTCACTCTCTACTTACAGACGTTTTCATAATCTTAAAAATCTCATAACTTTCTACAGCTATTCGATCGTGCTAAAATATTACACTTAATCACAGTTTCTTGGTGTCTCGTAATTTTATCCATGAACTTAATTCTCACTAAAAACATCAATAAATCAAATTATCTATCAATTTTATTTTAACTTAAAATCACGTAACTAGTCATTTTATAATTGCGTAAATAAAATTTCAATGTAAAGTAAAATGTAAAACAAAAAATAAATACGTTAAAATTATTTTTATGTTTAAATACGTTAAAAATGAGGCAAAGATCTACATGTTAATGTTGTTTCTAGAATATTTTTCTGTTATTCGTTGAATGATAGAAACATATCTTTTAGATTTTTCAAGTAGATATAGTAAGCTAAAATACATCTTTACTATATTTGCATTTCATACTTAATTTAATATTAAATATAATTTATATATAATTTTTTGACTATACAGTACAACAGTAGATAATGTAGAAACACATCAAGAAAATTATTACTGATATTAGAAAATCTGTGTTTTATAATTTTATACACAGATATATTCACATGAAGAAAATTCTATACATGTGTACATCTTTATCTCTCTATCTTTAGAAAAGTCCATGTAAATCTAAAAAACATCCACTTTTTTAAAACATAACTCCAAAGTGTAAAATTTAAATATATATTAATAAACAAAATGTACAATAAATTCTTCTCAGCGAAATAAAAAAATAATGAATCAAGTACCTATATGTAAGTATAAAAATCAAAGTTCAATAAAAAATTATTTTATATAAATTCACAGAATCTAACTACCATAAAAAAGATAATACATATAAATGGGCATCTTTATTCATCTACTTGTTGAATACTTCACCTACTTATTGTCCCATTAATGTAAGCACAGAATAATTATATTAAAATAATGAGAGAAACAAATGCATGAAGTTAAGCTAACTGAAGAAAACATTCTATAACTAATATTACGTACAACGTATGCACAGTAGACATACTGTGTTGTAACAAGTATTTTTCATGCAACGATAAGAGGAATCTACAAGTAATACGAAGGAATACTGAATGACACATGAGACGAGCTATAGAAACTTACATGCTGCTTATTGCATATATCCTATATCGTTACATAAGCGGCCGGTCACGAATTGTAATTATCAGCCAGCCTGTGCGAACTTTCTCTGTACGGTTTTTTATCAGAATGAACACGGCCTTAGTTGCGTTCTCACCTAATAAATTTGAGACGTGTATGTGTACGTACATGTGCATATATACGTTTTATTTTTGAAAGTAGAACTCGATTCCAAATGTATGTTTATGTAATTGTTTTAAGTAAAGTGACCTGTTATATAAAAATTGGCATTTTAAAGACGACTTTTTAGAAAGCAGGTTTATTGTTATAATTAAGAATTTTGTAAAACTGCATTAAAATTACAATTAAGAATTTTGTAGAACTGTATTAAAAACTTTTTTAATTAATAAAGTTATATAGATATATAACTTTTATAAAGTTTATAAAGTTTTATATATAAACTTTTAAAAATTGTAAGAGATGAACGATTATTTTTAAATACACGATTTTCTATGTTGTAAAAATTATATTCGCTGTGAAGCAAATTTAATCAATGAAATGAGAATTTAATAATAAATTGAACAAAAGTGAATATTATTAGAATATTTATAATCTATTGTACAGATTATGAGACACGAATGAGATTACTGCAAATTAATTAATAAACTGAATGTCGCTGAACAAATTTATAATTTAATTTGCCTATTTTGCAGTATGCGTTTCTTTTTTAAATATTTATTATACATTTTAATATTCTTACTATACAGCTTGCTTTAATATTCTCAAAGATCTTAATATTCATCGATAAGAACACATAATTTAACAAGTAACATTTTTATCGTATTTTTGTAATTCTTATTTTAGAATCTTTATTCTTATTTAGTAAAGTTATAACTATTTATGATTCTTCTTGAACTTCAATAGCTATATAATTATATATATACACATATTTGCTCAATATTAACATACTTTCATCACAGATTTATTGATTTCTTTTATTAATAAAACCTCTCACAATGAAGTCAATTGAAGACTTCAGCAAATTTAAATAGTATGACGTAATTGAAAAGGCATAATAGATAATAAATTTTTATAGTGTTTATATAATATATGTAACATTGTTAAAAATTGAAAGTGAAAAAGACTAACTAATCTTTCAACAATTATTATAATCATTATATAATTATTATATCTTACATATTTTCATAATACAGAACCGAGTATTGCACAAGTATGTAATTTGCAATTATAATGCAATTTGCAATTATATGTAGACTGCGGATATTTATGTAAGTACTTGTAGAAAATGTACGAAAAACATACAAAGTAGAATAGAAATAAATAGAAATAAAATAGAATATAAAAAAATATATAAAATATAAAATAAATATAATATATAAAATAACGTATAAAATATAAAACTGTATTCGTCTAAAATAATAATAATAATAATTTAGCGGACGAAACAAATCTCTGTCAGTCTCTCACTTATAAAAATATGAATTTATATAAATACCGGCCATCTAGGAACGTGAAATACAATGCTACTAAATATAATGTTAGGACTTACCTTTCCGGGAGTGGGTGAGGGAGATGTTGAGTTTAACCCCTGCTGTAAATGATACATTTTTGGGGTGAACACAGATGGAGGTGCACCGAGGCTACCCGGGGCGACAGCCACGCTCGTCATGGTCATTTCCTACGATGAACGCAGTCCTCGGCTTTTTCGAACCATCTGTCCACGGCCTTCTGCGAGCTTCGTTATTGTTCATCCTCGTACCGTGACCGCTGCAACATAAATGTTCAACTTGAGTCGAATCTTGTTTGTTACTGTATGTTTAATTTCGCATCAACTGCTGTGGTTGTTAGTGATATTATTAGTGAAGCTATGAGCTCCAGAACTGTGAAACTGTGATTGAGAATTGAACCTATCCACCTGGTTTCTGGATGGACTCTGAATTATATATGAAATTTCAAGAACATCAGACTGCATTATTGCTGGTATAACTGATTTTACTGACACGTGCACTTGATATAAATATAATAATATAAAGTGAAATTTAATAAATTTAGAAATTTAGAAATTTTTAGAAATTTTTAGAAATTTAATATGAAATTTAAATATAATAAGTCACACAAGAAATTATAACAATAATTATAATATATTGACATATATAACAATATAATTATAATATATAACAATATTTATATAACAATAATTTTCTTTGTTTTTCTTAATTGTTCCTTCCCCTTTTGGCAAAATATTTTCCATTAATTTATGAATTTTCACTGGTCAATGCTATTATTCAGAATTTTATTATTAATATAATTATTATTCATAATTGCTTTTGAGATGTCATTCTATTTTCTTGGAGGAAGATGACAAAGTATAATACATTATTGCATGAGACGGCAAAATTCTTAGGGATTGTTAATCTTCCTGTCTCACCTACTTAATTATTTAACTGCCTTTGAGTCAAATCTTACATTAACAAAATGAATGAAAAATTCTAAAATATAACTCAAGGAGTTATTTTAAATTCAGAAAACTTGAATGAATGAAACTTATAATTAAGTTAATAAAATAATTTAAGCTATTAACTATGTAGATAAAACTAACACTGGAACTATAAACTTAATGAAAATATCCAATTTATAATTTTTTGCAATAGCTTTGCAGATTTACGATATCACATTTTTATCGATTTGAATGATTTTATGAACATCTTTCTATTTCTTGCACTCTAATTTCTCTGATAATTTTTATACTTAACGTCGATAGTTGTCGATAGTTCTAAGTGTTAAGAGATGGCGAGTATACTCGTCAAACATAAAATAAATGATTATTAATACAAATAATTAAATTGTTTTTGAATGTTAAAATTTTTAAATTGTTTAATAGGAGGTAACTAACAATAAAAATTAACTTGGAATTCGAAAGAGATAAATCATTAAGATAAAACTGTTGAATGTCATACATGCTATGTGTTAAGTAAGTGATTAAGTAACTTTGAAGGAACGTTCAAAAATTTAGCAAGTTGTTACGTAATTCAGGTAGGAGCTTGTTTAATAATCATAAGATACTTTACGTATATTAAATGTTTAAATAATGTTTAACGTTAGTAAATGTTTTAATAATGAGGTCATTCTGTAATAAACTACTTTTATTTCATATTATTGTTCCATATTGTACAACAAATATCTTAATGATTAAACGTACAATCAATTTATTTTTGTGATTTATATTTATGATTTCATTTTAAGTTGTTTTTAAAATTAAATTGAATTAAGCGGAGTGATAATTAGAAATATTCAAAACATTTATACTTAATTTATAATGAATGTGATAATTAGAAATATTCATCATTTATACTAATTTATACGTGTAGTTTTGTTAATTTCTTTGTAGGGAAAGGAAATAGTAAAGTGTAATTACTGAATTTTTATACAAATTCATATTTTTGAGAAGTATAAATAAAAATAAATATTATAAAAATATACTGCGTGAGTTATCTGCAATAAATTGCATAAAAATGATTCAAAATATTCATAATCAAACTATAAAGCTATTTTTAAAACACATAAAAGTTACCACGGGAGGTTTGTAGTGAATTTTAATATTGAAAGTATAATTTTAACTACTCAATATGTTGATAACGAACGGTTTGTATTTTTCATTTAAGCACAAAGCTACATAAACACAAAAGAAGTACGAACAATTATCTTACAAATGAATGAATAGCGACAAGTGAAAGACTGAAAGCGCATTACGTTTTCCTTTTATTCTTTCGTGTAATGAAGCACTGATATAAATACAATGGGAACAACAGTTATAATCCCATAACCAGCAATTCAATAGAAAATTTTAATTAGAAACGTGCTTACCTTTGTCTTTTCATTTAGCCACGTTGCAAAGCAATTTATAAAGCAAAAGTAATAAATGCACAGGGCATTATTACTTTCACTCTACAGAGAGTGTAGCTGAACAATCTTTTCGAGATTATGTCCTCCTCTGTAGTATATTACTTTCATTGATAAAAATAAATTGCATTTATATTTTCTATTTTGCTTATCAGAATATAATGATGGAATTATGTAATGAAATAAATAATAATAAATGAAACAGAATAAGTCATTTAACAAGCTTTTACTTAAATTATATAATAACTTGCAAAAGTTTTATAGTATTTTTTATAAGATTATAAAAATATTTTGTCTTTTTTGTTTTGTACTTTAGTTTAATGATAAAATTATGGACTAAAGTAAATAGTAATAATAAAATAAAATGGAACAAAATAAATACATAATGAAATAATAAAGTTCTATTGAAATATTAATAAATTTTGTATTTTTTGTGTCGCACTACACAAAATTACGGAAAATTAAATTATGAATTGAAACAATAGACAATAAAGTAATATGGATCCAACAGAATACTTATGTTTTAATTTTTAGCTTCTATCTAAATTGTAGTGAAATATTTGCATTTTTTACAGTGTAATAATGATGTTATGCAAATTAAAAGAATTAAATCAATACTAATTAAAATAAAAGAAATAGTAAAATAATAAAGCTCCAATGAAACATTTATTTCTCTCATTGTCTAATAAGTTTCTATCTAAATTACATAACAATTTATCGAAGTTCTGTAATATTTATAACAATATAATAATAATAATAAAATAAATAAAAATAATTATTTCAAACTCATATATAAAAGAAATTATTAGATATTTTTTCATTTTGTTCAATTTTGTACTTTAAAATTTCGTATGAATATGTAGAAATTTGCAGTCTATTAAGAATCAATTTATACATTCAGAAGTTTTTCCAAAAACACTTGTAATTAGAATATGGATATTTATGCAAATGCAAATCTTTATAATCACAATTACAATAGAAATAGATACTTGATTCCTTCCATTTACTAAACATTAGAAACTATAGATATTTTACTATTTACTAATTACTATAGATATTTTATATATTTTTCAGTCTATTTTTTATAAATGCAATATGAAATCAAGTGTTCGACTTTGGAAAGTTGAAGGTTGATGCACTATCTTTCACAGTAATTATTTAAAATTAAAATATATACATCACTCCTTGGGAGATAATGACTTACTTTTTAACTGAAATTATATTATTGATTTTCAGCCAAACAGAGAATTATTTAACATTCAAGAAAAAACTTCAAAGTAAAATGCGAACTTCGAATCTTACTTCAAGTTCTCTTTACACTGATTTCTCGCAGAGAAATCGTCAGAAATCATCCGTTTGCGAGCAATATGAAGCACGAAGCTGAGAGGACATCTCTCGCGCGCGTTGCCACGAGTATAAAATCACATCGAAATGGCGATTTGTTAAGCAATCATTTCGATCGTATTACGACACTTCACAATGGTACCGTGTAATTCCACTCTCGCCAGGAGATCGCAATTGCACAATTTTCGTCGCGCCAGACGAGACATTCGGGCGGATCTAGAAAGCGTCTAGCTAGGAAATGCTAATTTACCAGAGTTTACTGGTCTTACTGTTACGTGCATCAGGCCTCCGCGAATATATTTGTCTAATCCGACGATCTGGTGCAATGAATCGAGGACTTGTCTCGCCGTGATACTTGAACATTAACCAAACGCTCACAATCAATTTCCAATTTTTAGTTTCTATGAAATTATAATTTTTAATTGTTACACGTTATTTAGTATTTTCTAATTTTAACAAATTTTTGATAGTAACTTCAACTGATTTGACAAATAAATTAAAAAATTTTGATTATTAAATTATAATATTTAGCTTGTGTGAATTTTCAGTTTTCAATCTGTATAAATTGTTGATTGTTTGACGCACATTTTAATTCCTTAATTTCCAATTCCTGGTTCGTGCAAAATTCCAATTCTTCCAGATCGTATAAATTTTCAGTTTTTAATGTGTGTAAATTTTCAATTCTCATAATTAGTTTGTGTATATTTCCATTTTTTTTAATTTACGTGAATTTTTTATTCCATCGATTTATGTAAAATTGTAATTCTTAATATGTTACAATTAATTCTTTACATTTCATTATTCATATTTTTTAAAATCGTGAAACTATATAACACCACAATTATTTTATCCATTTCATACTTGTACATATTTTGATAATAAAATATTTTCCAATTATCAAGTTCTTAAAAATTTTTCAAAGGTCCAATTAAAATTTTTCATTTTTTAAAAAGAAAAGAAAAAGAAATAAATCGCTTTAATTAGAACTCGGTTTATAAAAGAAAAAAAAAAAAAATCGCATTTGGAATTCCTAGTGAAATAGATCCGGAAAAGAAAGGAAAGAATTTGAAACCTTTACGATGTAGGTTGACACGCCTCTCGTAACGTCAGCGGCGTAGCTATATTTTCGATACTACTGTTACCTCGATACTACTGTTACAGGTGAGATTCATTATGATGCATCAGCATGTTGCTGACTGATTTTTATTTGAGAATCATCGTGACACGCATTTCACTTGGTTAATCTCATTGCCGATGGCTATTCGTGTAGATTTATTTTACTGACCTTCATTTCATGTACATACAATTCTCATTTTTTAAAAGAACGACAAAATATGAATATACGTATATTCAAGAATAAAGATTTACATGCTTCTGAAAGAAAACCTTCAAAAATATTTTTAACCGATTATAAAATTTGCTATATTACATCGAGATATAATGAGAAATTCAATCAATAAAATATAAATAAAATAAATTCAATTTTTTATGTTACCTATACTGTGTATTGCATATTATATAATATGTG